CCCTCATATTGTAGAGATTTATGACACACAGATTGATTTAATTTAGGTGTTTATTTTAAAGGATCCATAATTAGTAGTGGCAACATAAGTGAGAAATATTTATTTTAGATGTAAAAACAATAAAGTAATAGGTTGTTTAGTTTTTGTTTACTCTATAACAGAGTTTCTAGCGCTGTTCTCTGATGTTCTTCCCGGCGTTTTGTGCTGCAGCAGCAACACGGTTTAGGCGCTTTGTGGATAAAAACTTTCACCACGGCATTTATTTTTAGCTTGCTAAGGTAACAATCACCTGTTAGAGCCTTGGTCATTTTTGCTACAAATGACTCAAAGTCTTCTGGAGAGAAATGTTGAGAGCGCAAATGTAGGTCCTTCCGACTCGCGTCTTTTTTTTATTGTTGTTTTTTAAATTACAGCCAATAGTGACACAGAATGGCATAATCTAAAATCACACCAGTCAAACACAATATGATAAACAACTGGTCAGGTAAAGTGAGCCTTCCTGTGTTTCTGTAGATTCCAGTACAGAAAGGACCGTTATGCATCACTATCTCATCGGTGAAAATGTAACAAAAGATATACATTTTCTGAAGTAATTATGAGTTTTGTCGTTTCGCAGAAAACTATTTTTTAGTTCATTGAAAAATTGCAACATAGTTAGTTTCTAAAATTTGGCTAAATGACAAAACTTAACAAGAACATTTTCAGAGATTTTTTTTTTTTTTAGGTTAAATCTGCAGCAGACTGACGATGACTGAGTGAAGCGTTTGCTCAGTGTTTCTTTTGGAAAATCTGCAGCTTCCGCAGCCAAATTAGCTCAAATCAACCTTCAAAAGGGTAAAACAGAAAACAGCCGCCTGTGGCAATGAAAAAAGAAATTGATCTGGACTTGAAGTTGCAAATCCCATGTTGCTGTGCTTTGCGGAAAAGCAAAGAGTTTTAATTAGAGCTCCCTTTGCCACCAGGTTCAGTGTCTTTGTGCCTGGGATCGCTGCCAGGCTCTGCTGTCTGACGCTTCGGCTGCGAGTCGAGAACAAAGCCACAGACATGAGAGTCATCTGGGTTCAGGTTCCCACTGTGGGTGCAGAAGCAATCAGGTTCTGAACCGAGGAACAAGACATGCACCGGGTCAACTACTAGCTGTTTTTAATTGCTCACAATTGTGTTCATTTCATAACCATTTTGAATATTATTCAACATTCGTATTTCACATTTATTTTTGCTCCCATTTGGCTTAAAAAAAAACAATAGTGGGCAATAAGTCAAAGCTTTTTGGTGTCTGGAAAATGGGCTGTTTTAAAAATGTCACAAATCAGAAGGCACTGCCCGTTACCTAGCAACGCCGGTGGAGTTCCGCCTGTTGCCTAGCAACGCCTGTGGAGTTCCGCCCGTTGCCTAGCAACACAATCGTTTTCTCAGTTGTGTTTTGCTGTTGACTTTCAGCCAGAAAACACTTCCTGAGTTTTGCTGGTTGTGCATGAGGCTCCACTCTGCTTTTCAGAGACGTATAGTTGTATAATTACTCATCAGTTTGCAGACATTTTCATGTGCAAATGTAAACATTGAATTGGGGGCGTGGCCAGCAGCAGCTTATTTGGATTTAAAGTGACAGCTCATTTTGACGGAAGCTCAAAATAGACAGAAATCTCCTGATCTAATAATGATCTTGTTTTAAAACAGATATAATGATCATGTTTTGTTTCTGCTGTAGATCTGTCCTGACTTTATAGGTCACCTCGAACAATGTTTTCTCAATTATGGGTCATTATTTGTTGCTTTTCTTTTTTTCTGCATATTTTATAGATTGATTTGAAATGTTCTTCTCATATTCCACTGATTTTTGAACGATTCATTTGTTGTTTGTGATTATTTTAGGTCTCTTATTGATGATCCAACATCTTATTGCAGAATTTTATACCTTTTTTTTTTTTTTTTTGCTCTTTTTCTTAGTTCCTGTTGTTTCCTTCCAGCTCCAAATGTCAACAGTACCCTGGTATCCTGACATTGTCCCGTAGGAACGCTCCTGTTTCACTTAAAGCCTCTCTGCCTGTGTTTGAGTTCAGATGCAATGTTCAGGGTTAATTAATTTGAACTTCCTCTGCTGGTTGCATATTAAAACCTGTCTGGAAGAGCTTTCTCCTTGGGTTACTGTGGCCTCTGCTGCACATATTTTGACCTCTGTAATTCTTGTTTTGTGCGTTAATAACGGCTATAAAGCTGTTTTGTGGACCTTGAAATTGTTTACAGTGAGCCCTCTGGGTTTTGCTTTCAGTTGGACGGCGTCCAAAATTATATATGGCCTCCTCCTGTCTTGTTGAGGGGTGAAACCCCACATTCATCCTCTCTTTGAATATGTTGCTCAATTTTGCTCTCACCAACAACTTTATCAGATTTCAGGCAACTAGTGGAAAGTTCTGGACCTTGACCCTTTGCTCATTGGATTATTTTTGCTAATTCTCCTTGTTTGTCTAACAAACATTTTAGCTGGAGAAAATGTTTCTCCAGCCAATCAATTTTAGTTGTATTTGTATAAAATTAAATGTACAGTGGACCCTCAGTGTTATAACTGTAACCAAATATTCATTAACATGCATTAATAAACGCAGTGGAAGTTGTTTTAGCGTTAGCAGAGATGCTAATAACAACCAAGCTGCATTTTATTTATAAAGCTTTAGGAAAAAAAATCTCTGAAAACACAAATTTTCCCAAAATAAATGATAATTTTGAAAAAACTCATGTTTTTCTGTAAAACAGGTTGTGTTTTTGTTTTTCAGCTGTATCAAAATAGATATATTTCGCATAATTTACATCATGAGTTACTACTGGCAGAAACAACAAAGAAGACGACAACAGGAAGTTGTAGGAAGATAATGTTACATATAATTTCTGTCAGTCTAACATGTTGGAATCCATCTTTTTTCTGTAAATTGGCCAACTAATTTCCCCCAAATGCCGCTGCGTACGTAGCCGTCTGAATAAGACGCCAAAGCCTCCTCTGATTGGCTGAATCATGATTATGAACTCATATAGCTGTTTACATTCACCGCTGTAATTACTTATTTGATGGAAACAAAACATATGGATATATTTGTAATGAAAACGCAGCTACTGAGTCGAATACTTTCCATAAAAAGAGAAAAAGAAGCATAAAGTTAACGACAGCAAGAATAGCAAACAGAGAGAGTATTAGTAGAAAATGGAGAGTAAAGCAGGCCACTGTCCTCCAGCAGCCAACAGAGAGAAGCTAAGCCTCTGACTGGAAGCTTTATCTGAACAGGTAGGTTGAGTCTATCTGCAATCACTGATTACTCCCAGCCTCGCTGACCTCCAGCCGTCCTCACTGCTTCTTTTCACTTTGCTCAACCCCAGGATCACTTAAGGCCCCGGCTCTATTCATTCCTGCCCCACGGGAGCCGCGCTGCACTGTCCACCCTGATGTATTTGTTTTATTAATTCAATCCATCGCTGGCTTCCTCTGAGCCCGCCGTGTTTTTTCCCTGCGTGAAAAGTGGAGTTTCTGCCCCACATGAACCCGTTATTGGCTGCAAGCTGTGAAACGAGAGGCAACCGAATGATTCAGGCTGAAACATCAGCATGTTAATGATGCTCTGTGGAGCAGTGGGGTTGGGAAATATGCACTACATCTCCCCTGCAGAGATGCAGGCGGCCGCCACGTAAAGCTGAGTGAAGATGTGAGGCTGCAGGGCGCACAGCCCCGCAAACCTGTCGCTTGAAAAACCCAAAGGTTTTAAAACAAATCAAAACACCAAAATCACCAAAAACATTTCTGGATCGCCGCAGATCCTTTCCTTATGTATTCAAGTCTTTGAAACTTTAATCCTAAATAGCGGAAACTTTGTAAGGCAGAATTGATTTGTTTTGGAGGAGATTTTGTGGGATTCACGCTAATATTCAAGATTATTCCAGGCTCCAGTGAGAATCGCGGATTAGTTTGGAAACTCTCCAGCTCAGTTCGAAGGAATTCATTGACCTTCGAGTCATTCTGAGAAAGTTTCTACTTTCTTTTTTCCCTTCTTACATTGCAGTTAACTCCATTTGTGTTAAATATATGGATGTATAGCGAGAGCTGCGACCTTCAGCCTCTGCTCTGCAGGAAGCCGACCAGCAGGATCGTCCTTCAGACTCCCTGCTGACTCCAACACATAACTTTAACCTCTCGGTTTTCCTTCTCCTAAAAAACACAGACGCTTGTAGCTTCATTTACTCACAATATATCTGTAATAAAACCTCAAAATCCTTTTTAAACAAGAATAAAAATACTTTTATGTATTTTTAGCTGACTTCAACTACCAACATTTTTGTGCTTCGATCAGACAAACCATCACAGCATTTACAATTAAAATATCAAACTACTTTTATTTGTCTATTATTCTTCCTATTAAACACAATTGTTTGCTAAGCTAACTCTACATATTATTCACATGCAGTACTTCACAGACCACAGCTTGACAAAAGGTGTCCAAACTGTGGCACAGGGACTATTTGTGGCCCCTGGACTGATTCTGCGCGGCCCCCAGCTGCAACTGAAGCTGATTTAAATTTGGAAGGAAACACTGAAATTTTGAGATTAATGTGAGAAATTTTTCACAAAAAATATGGACATTTTTGAGCTGCAAAAGTTTTAAATTTACGAGAAAAAAACATGAAAATTTTGAGATTAATGTGAGAAATTTTCCAGAAAAAAGATGGAAATTTCTGAGTTTGAAAGGTTGAGAATTTGCTTGAAAAAAAGTCTGACAACTTTATATTAATGAGATTAGAATACGATTAGAATATAGAACTTTTTGACTAAATTCTAAATTTCAAATGTCAAATTTTGGCAGAAATGATCTGACCCACAAAACATGTTGTAAAAATCTCCTTCAGGCTGTGGGTCCGCTTCACCTGCTTGGTTCTATTGGATGGTGATGAAAACGGATGTTGCGTTTGTATCAGACTGAGTCAGCTAACAGGTGTGCGTGGCTGTGTGTTCCCTGCCTTAGCAGAATCCCTGTTCAGCGGCCTGGGGCTCGGCGCGGTGGTGGGCCTCGGCCTCGGAGCGCTGCTGCTGCTCCTGGTGCTGGTGGACGTCAGCTGCTTCTTCCTGCGCCACTGCGGCCTGCTCATGTGCATCACTCGCACGCTCTGCAGCAAGAAGACGGCGACCAGCGGCAAGGGCAAAGAGATGGAGGAGGGCAAGGCGGCTACCTGTGAGTATCCCCCTCCTCCCTCAAATCTTGGATCAACTGTTTGGGTTTTTGATGTTTGCAAGTCGCCAGGTCCTTCATGCTTGGAACATCTGCTGTGGGTGTATCAACAACCTTAGAGACCTGAAGGGACGAATGAAAATCTGTAGAAACTGTTTCCTACTTTGGGCTGAAGAGAGAGAAAATCATCAACCCTCAGTTTAGTCAAATGTCACAAATTGCCTTTCATGTCACTCCTTTATTTGCTACGAATGAGCAAAGGAGACTTCTTTTTACCGTTTACTGTAGGTACACCTACAACAGCCGCCCAACCACCCTTTCAACCACAGTATGTCTCTGATTATGTCTTTCTGGCTAACGTCTGTGCTTCCATCCACTGTGCTGTGAGTCCTCTCCTCATCTGCATGCCCGTAGCGCTGGCTGTGGCGTTCCAGTCGCCTGTGTTGTTGCTGCATGAGCCGCTTCTGTGTTTCGCTTCTTCTCAGCGTAGAAGTTCACAGCTCGGGATAAAACGAGGCCTCGGTTCGCCTCCGCGGAGCCGCTTTTTGTTTTTCCATGCTGCCCGTGTGAAGGAGCAGGGAGGGGGCTTTGACTTTTGCTGAGTCACTAAGTGACTGGCTGCTCAGACTGCATGCAGAGTGTGAGTCTGTGTGGACAGCAGAGCCACGCAAAACACTCCATACTAGCAAACACTGCAGACAGATACAGAGCCACTGGAAATGCTGCTGTTTTTGTACCCATATTATGACAAAATGTTGACATTCTTGATCCTGTATTGTAGTATTTCTGCATAATCTGACAATCAGGCCTGATGGAGATTTAATCAGAAACAATCTTAATACTATCAATATGTAGCTTTGCTTCCTAAGCTGCAAATACTTTAAGCAAAAATCTTCATAGTGATATTTCCCAGAAAAACCAGAGAACCTTGTCGTGTGAATTAGATCATCCGTCTCGCTTTGACAGACAGATAGTTGTGATATTTTCCCTTTAATCCTGTGAAAGTTAAACTCCCACATGTTTTGCTTTGCTAGAAACCAACTGTTTCCTGAAGTAAAGAGCACAGCAGGAATAAAGTGGATCCCGTCTCCATCTGGTACTAAAAGAACATTGAAAAAATGGTGCTACCATTTTAAAACTGGGATATTTCTTTGCAGAAACTTTAATAAGATTCTGACAGTTTATTGTCTTAAGTTAAGTTGTATTTATGGAAGCAGCGCTAACGTGTTTCTCCACCATTAGCATATTTAGTACTGCATACATGAGAGTGATTGGCGGCGTTAAGACCTTAAAAATAACATGCTGCAGCTTTAAAACATTTAGAAAGTAAAGCGTAAAGAGTTACAACTTCAACTTTTCTATTTCAAAGCTCCGAAATGCATTTCGTGTTGATTTACATCCAAGCAGGAGGAACCAGGATGTGAGGAAACTCCCCATCTGAGGTCCAATCTGGGTTTGCATGAAGCTAATGAGACATGAAATTGGCTCCACTCTGCAGCCACTCCAGCATCCACCAATCAGGCGAGGGGAAGCCCCCCGCAGCCCGCAGCAACACTTGGGCTTATTAGGTTCAGCAGGTCACTGTTTTACATTCACGATCCGGTTGGCTGGGAAACTCCCCCGCAGATCATGAAACCACGTCCCAGATGTAAAAATCAACCATTTGCTGCTTGTATAAATACAAATTTCTATTAATGAAGAGCTGGAATATCAAAGCTCGCCCCGCTGGTGAACTCTGAGTTTTAGCTGATCTAAAGAACTGGCCAGATATTAAACTGATTCATCAACCTGATTGTGTTTCCAGATGCTGTCGTGTTTCTAAAGCGAGCAGGGATTGATTTCTCTAACGATGGATCAAATGGAAATGAATCCTCTAAATCTGAATGTCTGGAGTTAAAATTCAACAAATGTTCCTGATGCAGTTTATGTTTCAGATCTGGAGAATCTGAAAGTCTCCATCACTCTTCCTCTTGTTCTTTCCTTCCTTCACTCCTTCCATATTTCATCCTTCTTCCTAACTTCCCTTCTTGTGTCCTTCTCCTCCTTTTGTCATGTCTTCCTTTTGTACTTTTCCTTGTTTCCTTGTTTATTAACCTAATCGTGGCTTTACCTCCTTCTTCTACTTCTTTTTTTCTTCCTTTTTCTCTTTTTTGCTCTTGTCATTTTTCTATTCCTTCACTTTTTCTCTTTTCATTTTTCCTAGTTTTTATTCTTTCTTTCTTTTGTTGTTTCTCTTATTCAACCTTTTTTCATTTTTATCTCCTTCCCTTTTTTATTTCCTTTCTTCATTCTTTTATTCTCTTTCCTTCCAGCTTTTCTCCTTTTTTCTTTTCTAATTTGTTCCTTCCTTTCTGTATTTTTTATCTCCTTCTTTCCTTCCTTGTGTTTTGGTCTTTCCTTGTGTCTTTCCTTCATATTTTCCATTTGTCCTTCCTCCATTTCTTTCTTCTATCCTTTCACTCGTTCTTCTATTCTTACGTTTTCCTTCCTTTTATTTATTTCTTTTTTTCATCTATCTTCTTTCCTTCATTTAGTGAAAAATGTGAAATCAAATCTTGCATAAACATAAAAACATTTATTAGTGAATTTTGGCCTTGTTTTGTTCCCGTAGATCCTCTGTTGCTGTGGAAATGCTCATTTCTTTAGTTTCACAGCTGATTGAGCCTCATTTTCCGTCAGAAGCTTCAATTGACAGATGGATCTCGATCAAACTGTCCTGATTGATCACCAGGAGCGTCGTCAGAATAAAAAATAAAGTAAAGCTCAGCGACCTTTGAACTCAGCTGAAATGTGCAGCCTAGTTTAAAGATTCACTCAGGGAGACAGGAAGTGATGTCAATGAAGGTAAATCGTGTTGATTTAAAATTGAATCTTTTTGGACTTAAAAATTTAACTTTAATGGTTGAAGTAAAAACAAAAGCACAGATTTTTTTATCTTTTCAGCCGTTTATGATCTTCTATAAATTCACATAAACCAAAATAAATTCAGACGTTCATATTCAGTTCATTAGGACTTCATAAAATGCTGTTTGATTTGTGATCGATTATCAATCATTATGCTCCTATCTGATTGCTCCATCTGTTTTGTGACGTTGTGAAGTAAAACATTCCCACATCATGATACTGCCACTCCCGTATGACTGGAAAAATGACGCCATGTTTTTCCAACATGGTGATTTTAGTTTCTACTTTAGTTTAGTCATTATAATTTTGCATGCCGGTATATAACACTCTTTTTCTGTTTTTGGTTGTTAAAATAGAAATTCACATAAAAGCAAACAAAAGAAGTGACACAAGTGTTTCATTCTTGTTCATTTTCTTCAAATATTCTAAATTATTTACAACAAATATTGTTTGACATTTTTTTCCCATTAATTTTTTATTTTTGTGAAATAAGTTTACCTTTAAATTGGCTGTAAGTCTTATGTTTTTTGTTCCATTTTTTAATATTTACCGTCCATTTTGTTTTCTGGCCGCTAAAAAAGTTTCCATTTATGGACTAAATTTTAAACATAGTTTTTATTTCTTTTTTCATCTTTTCTTTCCTATATTCTTAACTTGTGTCTCATATTCTCTGGATTAAGTTACTTTTCCAGATTAAATTGATTCTTAAAATGTATTTTTTTGTGTTTGTATTTAAATGTAACTTTTTTGTTGTGACGCTTTATTTTTATTTTTTAAATAATTTTTATTAATCTATTGTTTTATGGTTTTTGTGAAGCACTTCCTTATGTACTGTGTAGGCCTGTCACAATTAATCAATCAATTAATTAATCACATGATAAATTAAAACTCTTTTTATGATTTTTCTTTCTTCAGTTTGGTGTTTTTGTTTCAACCTTCTGTTTTTTGGGAGATAATTGATTTTAATTGTTTGTTTATTGGATATTTAAAATATCTTCCAGTTTCAGTGTTAATTCAATGAATCTCTGAGAATGTGTTGAAAATGGTCTCAGAACGATAATAATACAATTTATCGCAATAATAATCTCTTAGAAAAACTTATTGTCACCTTTCCTTATTTCCTTCTTTTGTTTTTCTTTCCTATCTTGTGTCCTTATTCCCTTCATTCCATCCTTCCTTACTTGCATCCTATCGTTCAGACTCATTTTGAAGAAGCAGGAATATTTATAATCTTTGTTGTTTTTTCTGAAATAAAAAACAACATTCATGCATAATCTAAATTATTCATGGGCTTTAAATGAAAAACACTCTGTTTTCTGTGCACATTTAGTGTTTGTGCTCCATCCTGAATCCTTTAGTTTCTGGTTTTGAACGGTGAAAAGCTGTGAGCCTCACCTCTCCTCCTGTCGCCTCGCCACTTCTCTTCCTGCAGGAAGCTGCCGCTGAAGGAGGAAAATGGCAAAGAGTCTCTCAAGCCGGATACGATTGAAATCAAAGTACACAGCGACAACAGCATCCACATAAAGCCGGACGACAGCAAGGCTTAGAGATAAATATATATATAAAGTAACGGTAAAGAAGAACGGGGTCGGCTCCCCTCGCCACCAAAAGAACATTCGGATCACGAGACCAACGGCCTGGAAAAGTGAAAATAGTGGAGTAAAATACTATATCTGTTTATATTAATGCCCGAATGAAAGGCATGTGTAAATAAAATTAAAAGAGAGGAAACGGGAGGGAAACTTTTTGACACCCAGAATGCATTTTGTTCAGTAGGAGCCTCTTAAATGATTGTATTTTATTTTATTTTCTGTCTTTTCATTGAAAACTCCTCAGACATTTCCTTTTCATTGTTTTCATGGCGGTTTGTGGAACGGCCGCCATCTTTGTTTTTAACTCCTGGTGTTTTCATGCTTTGGAGACGTAGAAACAAATCAAAAAATGTTTCTAAACACTAAAAAAAGTGTTTTTGATCTGAAAGTGACCCAAAGCGTGGACACACTTCATTTTGATCCCAAATCTGTCTTTTATTTTGAAAAGAAAGGAAACCTTTTTCTGTTTCGGACTCTCTCTGATGTCGTTGTGTGTTGTACATAGGTGAAAAAAACCTGGATATTTTACAGAGCTTTTATGTAAATATATTAAAACAAGGATGTCTTTTTTTCCACAGTGCAGAAGTCTTGGCCTTCGTTTCACTTCCTCTCCCCGTTGCGTTCAGGTTCTGGTGTAATATTCCTTTTTCCGCTCATTTGCTTCCCCTTGAGGGAAACCGAACCCCGAAGCGATTCCACGGCAGTAATTATGGCATTAATGTGCCTTTTCTTTCCTTTTTTCGCTCCCTTTCGTGCGGTTCGCTCCATGAAATCAGCTTCTGATTTGCTGCTTTTCGCGCCGGAGAGAGTGGACTGATCACGATGATGCTGCGGCGGCCGGCTGCTCTGGACTCACTGATGTGGAACAGACAGAACATAAGAAAATAGAAAAAATGTTTGTATTGTCAGACTTTCTGTCCTAAAAGTTGATCTTCTATCTTTGTTTTCTTCCTTTTTCCTTATTTCCTGATTCCTTCAGTCCTCCACTCCCTTTACTTCCTTGTCTCCTAACTAACTTCCTTAATTGTTTTCTTCCTCATCTCCTTCTTTACTTTTTCCCTCCATTTTTTATCCTAGCTCCCTTTTTCCTTCTTATCTTTCCTTATTTATTTGTCCTTCATTCGTTTCCTTCCTTGTCTGACTTGTGTCCTTACTCCCTCCCTTACTTGTTTCCTTTCTTTCCTTCCTGGACTGGGAATTCAGGGATATTGAGTCTTTTTACTTGATAAAATGCAGGAACCTGGAAGTAAACAGAGATCTGGTTCTGTCGGTGTGTAACGCATCATCATCATATGTGTGTGTGTGTGAGTGTGTGTGCATACATGCGTGTGTGTGTGTGTGTGAACATTCAGGTTGCATGTATGTCTGTTGAATGTATCTGCACGTACTGTACCGTAAGTCCACGACCGTCGGCTCATCCTGGCTTCATGGATTCAGAGTTCAGTCCAGTGGAAATCCGGCTCGGTTTCAGTTCCAGGCGTTTTTCTGTTTCCGGACGGTGGGTGATCCCCTCCCCGCCTCTGAGCTTTATCTCCAACCCGGGAAGCGCCGCAAAAAGAAAACAAGACTGAAACGAGTTCCTGCATATGTGAATTTGGTTCTGCTGCCTGTCGATGATCACTGTAAATACCGCGCTCAGTGCCTGGAGGCTATACAGTTTGTACATGTTCTTTTTGTATTTGGATATGAATCTGAAGCCACTCTTGTTTCCTCGATCCTTTCGGTTCTGTCAGGGGTTAAAACAGACGTGTTTGAGCTCAGTGTACATTATGTGTCCTCCCTGTCCCCATGTCCTCTGGACTGTCCCCGCTGAATTGTGCAGGAAGTGGGAAACTATCGATGTTTCTCTGTATGTACCTGTGGATCACTTGTGACTCGTATCATTTTGCCGCTGTAAATAAACATGTCCTGGTAGAAGAGAGTGGCGACTTGCCTTTTACCTTTTTGTTATAAAAAGTTCAGGTGTGTGGTGTCCAAAGTGCGGCGGGGGGCCGTTTGAGGCCCTCTGAAGGATTTTGAGTGGACAGATGCTTTTTAACTAATTAGTGAAAATTTTCTTTACAGATAAATTTCCTTTTAAGAAATTGTAGATTGCTACTATTTGTACTGCTACTATTCTTACCTGCAGGGTTTCCACCAGTGTATTTTAAGCCTGGCGGGCACCAGGCTAAGCATTGCTTATTTATTTGAGTTTTGTTTTTGTTTTTTGGTTAAAATTTATTTTTTAAGCCTTATAGTTGATGTTTAGGTATTACTTTTCCAGTCATTCAGTAACACATAGTTATCAAGTGATATTTTCACATTTCTTGTCAAATTTAAACATTTTTAACTCAAAAACACAACAAATCACGGATGGATGACGGCAGTAGGGCCCAAACATCGGGCTTAGCAAGTTGGAGCTGGTGTTAATAAAAAGCATTCAACATTTTTAAAATTTTTAGTTATCAACGTCACGCAAACAGCAAAGTTGCTAAAACGTACCGTGTAAAATATTAAAGGTAGACACTTTTTCACATTTTATGTCAATGTTTTTTTTTTTTTTACACAATTTTGATTTGAGTTTTCATAGGAACAATAGATGCATTTGTTATGCTCTTAACAGTAGAAATACAAGATTCTCTAACACAATTAAAGATTGTATGGATACCAATTATTAATTGATCCAAAAATTTGAAGAAAATAATTTCCTTTGTATTGTTTTTGTCTCAAAGGTCCTGTGCTGGAAAATTTAGAAATAATTTTCTTTAAAATGCTTGAAAAGTTCTTGAATTTTTCTGTGGGACAAGTTATGAACCCTGCAGGTAAGTGACTTAATTAGAACTAAATAAATTAAGAAACAAAGTGTAATTTGTGGTTAATGATGCCTGATGTTCTTAACTTGAAAAGAAAATTATTTGGGAGCCTGGTTTGAAAATTTCAATTCAAACCTACTTTATTGATCCCAAAGGAAAATGAAATGTTGCTGTAACTCGTATTAATTCAAGATTAGTCATTGTTACTGTAGATGGCATTTTTAAAATGGAAAAGGAAGAAAAACGATGACGTCAAGAGAAAAGTTATGAAGACTGTGCAGTTTAGATGCGTTAATCAAGGTAAGTCGGGTTTTCTGTGGCTCAAAATTACGTAAAATGCCACATTAATACACATGAGACAGGTTGATAAATACACCACTAAGTAATCGGGGTATTGTTTTAAAAAATTCACCATATGTTGGGCTGTTTTTGACTGGGTAACGATGTGTGGCAGAATGGTGCTCGAATGTCCTGCAGCAGCAAACGCACCATCTGGACAGCGGCACGTGCAGCCTGGAGTCTTCTGATGGGCGCCGCTTGGAGGAGAAAATGGCCCGAAGAGGCCGCTGGAGTTTTTAATCGTTTTTAGCATTAAAAACTCCCACATTTCAGACAAAACAGTATAGGGCCATTTTGGGAAATTAAGCACCTTTTTTAATGGAAGCTGAGGTGAAAACCTGCTGAGGGGGAGCAGAGGATTCCGCCAAGAAGAGGAAATCTCGGTAGAAAGTCAGGTAAGCTAACTTTGCTAACGGCTCTTTGCGCGTATGGCGCTGACGTCATATCCGCTTGAGTGAAATGCGGCTTCCTTGTTTACGTTTTGAGTTACTATGACAGCCAGAAAAGACAAAGTCGTATTTCAGAAGCAAATAAATAGCATGAACATTACTATCTAACAAATAAGTTTTTATGGAAGTAAGAAGATGGCGGCTTGTTCATCTTCCGGAGAGACCTGGAGGAAGTCTTCTCATCAAACTCTTGAATGTTATGATTACTGTTTTAATTTCCCTCTTAAAAACAAACAGCAGTGATGGACCACACAGAAACTCCTCTGAGGTCTCCAGATCACTCTTTAAGCCTTCAGGTGAAATTTTTCTGCTAATCTTTCCTTCTGCAGAGACTCTCCTGATACTCTAATCCCACCTGTTAGAGAAGTTTGGGAAGTCCAGGAGTAAATCCTTCTGACATTGTTGGAAGTTTACACACCGTGAAGAGCCTGCATGCTCTTTAGTCACTTCTCTCATGGCTAATTTCTGAAACTTTGCCCACAATAAAGAAGTGGAGCGTCTACTGACTTTGCCATGCAGACAAATCCAGGAGAGATTTCTTTTTGGCATAAACAAGCCTCCTCTTCTTTAATCTTCTTTATTTCACACTCGCCCAGCACATTTGTTGATTTGACAGGAGAGGAGAGGGGAAGAGGAAGGGAATGTGTGTGTGAGGAAGGCTGGAGGTATAAATCCCATTGAAGAATGGTGACGCGATAAATCTCTAAAGACAGGAAAGATTAAACATTTTGTCTTTGGCCAGGAGTTGTCAGTAAAAGAAGCTCTTCCTAAGCTCATTATCAGTTAAAATACCATATTTAGATTGTGTTTCTCTTCATTATTTCACATCCTGTACTGTTTTCAGCACTTAACTGATTTTAATAATTCACATAGCTAAATGTTCAGCTAATTCAATTGAAAATCTTCATAATTTCACAAACACTGTACTGTTTGGCAGCTTCCTGCTTCTGTCTACTTCAACTTAGAAACTCCACTGAGCTCTTCAATAAGTCACACAACATTAGGCTATCTTCAGATGATTTAGCTTTTTCGATACAGCTTACAGGTTTTCTATAATAATGGTTTAAGTTTTATGCAGATTTTCAATTTTATTCAGTTTTTCAATGTAATCCAATAACGGAATTCATTTAAGCTTTTTCAAGTTTGACTGCTTTTCCACAAACAAAATGCTGCTGTTTTTACATATTTCACTCCAGAGAAATAATTTATGCACCAAAATGTAGCCAAAGGTGTCTGTTTTCAGGAAATGTAAACATCATTGCCATAGGTCTTACAGTTTTCTTTCCAACATCTTCAGAGTGCAGATATGTCACAGCTCTTCCTGCGCTTCATGATAACTACAGAAATAAAAATAAAGTGGCTAAATTCAGGTTTGCGTTAGAAAATTAGCTAATTTTGTTTAATGAATGGTGGAAAAAATCAACAACAAGGTGATTTTGGTGTCCATGTCTGCCTTGTAGACATTTGTTTTTAGGTTGTCCAAAATAGGGTCCGGGGACCATTTGAGGCCCTAAAATGATTTTGTTCGGCCCCTGACTGTTAGGAATAAAAACTATAATGATGAGCAGGTACAAAAAAATGTAAACTATATCACAGACTTTTTAATTTATTTAGTTTACATGTTTGCAAAAGTATCCTTAATCCTATTTTACTGGGATTTATGTGATTGTCCACTTTAAATGAGTATTATTAGTAAAGTTGAAAGTGAATGAAAAATTATTTAACATTTATTTTTATGTTTTATTCAGCCGTCTTGTTTCAGTGGATACTTATTGATATATTCTGTGTAATTTTGCTTTTTTTTTTCAAAACGTGGCAGGTTGTCTGTTCATGAAGCTGCACCACCAGGGTACAAAATTAGCATGTTGTTTTCAGCTTGTCTTTGTTAAACGTCATTTCGATGTTGTCTAAAATCTTCATTATCCAGAGAAACGTAGTGAACTTTTTTCAGTGACTCGTTTTAATCTGCAGACTGGGTCTGGTTTATGGTTTTCCCCTCACATTCTCTATAAAGGTCATATTTTAAGTCACTAAGTTGGCAGCAGCGTCTCTGAAGGCCTGAGATAAACCACTCACAGATGGTCAGTATTTACTAAATGGGTCTGGATTTAATCGCTTGCTGTGAATTTTATTTAAGGGTATTGGAGTGAAGCAGCAGAATGCAAATGATAAAGTTTCAGGGTCATGAATACAATCTGGAAGGCGCCGAGTTAAATCTTGGATGCTCCTAAAGAAAAAACATACTTCTTTAGAACAAATCTACAAAATATAAAATTGCATCTTCCTGTGTGTGCAAGTTAGCAGTTCAATCACAGCAATAATCTGCTTTAATAAGTGTTGGTTAAGATTGTGGGTTCAATCTACTGCTTTTCTTCTCCAGGACTTGTCACATTCAGACTCATTTCCCTTTGGGATCATTTGGATCAAAACTATTTCCTTTTAAAATATAAAACTGCAAGAGAAAATCACTTTGGAAGTATAGTTTATTTTCTATCGATTTTTATTCTTTTGTAGATAACAAAGTCACCTTTTGGTCGTTTCATCTCTGCCTTCACTGCTTTCTTTGAGTGTTTTGTTTTGGTCTCAGAGTAAATAAGCCTCTCAAGCCTCTTTGTTGTTCTTCACTCATTTTGTGTCTCATTGAAGTCTGACTCTCTGCGGCCATTTTAACTGCCGTTAATAGTCTTGTGTTTAAACTCCTGGACCTGAGGCCTGTACTTCCAGTTAATAATCCGTCTTTGGCTAATTTCATCCACCTTAAAAGACAAATGTGATCTGCATGACTGTCCACAGGAGGAAAACAAACCCACTGCTCCATTTCAGAGTAGTTTGAGATCAGTAGCCAATCCATCTGTTGTGTTCAAATGCGCTCTCTTTTCTCTCAGTATGTTGTTTGTTTCTAAAGTTACATGCTGCGAAAATTTCTATAAAGTCTTAAAAAATGCAAACATTTAGAAAACAAAAAATAAATATGCAATGTTTAGCCTGGTTGGGGCCAAGTTAAGCCTGATTACCCGCCAGGCTTATAAAAGCTTGATATCACTTTTCCACACACACCAGGTTGTTTTGGACAAATTTTCTTCTCTTAAATAAACACATTCACTCAGCTTGTCATTGCCTGATATGATGTGAAACATTTAAATAGGACAAAAAAGAAAATCTGCAACACTTTTTCTCAGGAGGGAAATGAAAAGACTCCTCCTTAATGGTTGTCTCAATAAACCAAGAAGACTAAAAGCTTTACTTATCTGGATGCTCAGGCAGTAAAGTGGTGTTTAGCATAAATATTACAGCGTATTTGACAAAGATGTGGTTTGTTTTGACATCAGAATATTGGGAATTGCAAGAAGATTGTTTCAGTGCAGAGAAGATTTCCATCTGAACCGATTCCTCTAGTTCAGGAATATAATTTGGAGCTGCTCTGTAAGCTGTTGCATCGCAATATTTTATGAAACTAGAGCAGAATATGTCATATAACTTCCTGTTAAAGTCAATCTAATCTCCTTCACTGGAGCAAAGTTGCAAACATTTAGCCAAGTTTAGCATTTTAGTGTGGAAAGTAGCAAACTGAGTGAAGACTAGTCCTGGACAATATGGCTGACAAATGTATCACTTTATATCAGTTGTTTAGTTTTTTGTTTTACATTTCTCAAATATCTTCAAACTGGTGGTGTGAGCAGTATTATCCTCAATTATCTATTGATATCAATTATGGTCTATTGTATATTATTGATCTATTGTCCAAAAAGAAATAGATTTTAAACGTGAAGCAATGAAACGGCTCAGTTTTCTCTTTCTCTTTGCCCCAAACTCCAAACTCTGGAGGGAACTGAGACACAATCCAGATGACAAATGGCAGCTTTACTCTTCCGCGCCGCTCAAGGACACACTGGGGGGATTTTCCAAGGGAATAGGTCTAAATTACTCCGGCCTGTAACTCTTTGCGAGTGACGGAGAAACACACGAGTTGAGTTGCGTTCAGGCGAAGAGAAAGAGAGAGAAAGGCGTTTTGATATTCAGCGCAGGACGGCGATCTTGAAGTCACGAACACGAGTCACACTTTCTGAGTCGAGCTCTTTATTTTACAGCTCAAGGCTGCAGGGGTCATAAATGAGTGTGTTCACAGATTTCTATCAGGATCATTGAAGAAAATGCTCTTAAAGCTGAACCATCTTCTGACAGTAAAAACTTTAAAAATTAAAAGTAGGGTGTGCTAAAACATGTTATGACTTCTTCAACATTTCCTTTATGGATGGACGGCATTACAAAAGTTTGAATTATTCTCATCTTTTTCTGTTTTGTTTGTTTGCAATGGTTGAATTTTTGTTTTTTAAGATTTAACCTTTGGAAAAATCAGGATTTTTTTGCGCTCCTTGACTTTCCATTGTTTAGAGGAATGTCAGGGCGGCCATCTTTGACCAGCACGTTTGACAGAATTCAGAATTAATTATGCAATGACTTTGGACTGCTTTATATTAAACCCTTTTTGCTTCTTCTTCATCCTTGCCTCACACACACTGATTTTTACAGAAAATATTAAATCTGTAATATCCCTACTCGAAGAGATATGATCAGTTATTGATTCATTGTGCGCTACTTTGCCATAAAACCCTGTAATTACATTGCATTTGCATAAACGACGGCTCTGGAGCAAAGCTATATGGCTTTTATCTACAACTGATGAAATTCACAGAACGGCTTCATGCATGAAATTGATCCAGGAGAGTCTAATAATGGCTGCTTGGAGTAGATTAGGTTTTTTTCCAGGTGAAGAAGAGTTTGCAGTGAGAAGTTGTGCTTTGTTTTATCAGCTAACGAGGCTCAATATAGCAGAAGGAGTCCAGAAAGCAGATGGTTCATTCAGCTGCTGTTAAAATGTCTTAACATTTAAGAGTTTTCCACATTTTGAAATGAGAATAATTACTATTAGTCTGGACAAATGAAGGATACTGGAACAGAACCAGTGCTTGGTGAATATTCCTACAGCTCCACCAGTTTCTTATTCATTTTGAAAAAAATCTTCCTTTTTATAGAAACCCTGTTATTCCACATTTTCTCCAAGTAATTTTGATGTATTTTTGTTCTTTGTAGAATGAGATTGATTCTTTGCAATGGCTTTGGTTAAACCAAGCAAAAAAACAAACAGCTGGAGTGTTTAAAAATAATCAAAGGTGTATAAAACATTATTTTTAGAGTTTAACTTTAGTCATGCTGCCTTTTATATTGTTTTGCATGGTTTTCTATGATTTAAATGTGTTTTTTTCCATTGAGTTTTACATAAATTACTAAAATCTTCAGAAGTTTCAAAGTGAAAAGTCTCAGAAATCCATTCAGGGCTGTTTTTAAAACAAATTAAATGTGAGGCTTAATTAAAAACTGCTATCATCTGCTAATTACTATTGCCATAGGATTAACATGACTGCTCATTAATAGCATGATTGAGGTAAATTGGATGTTAAAAAACTGATATTTTTGTTATTTTCAGGAGAAACGCTTGGAGGGAAGAAGTTAAAGCTCTCCATGCATTCTGGGTCTCAGAGGTACGACTCCTCACACCTCACGTTTCACAGATAATTAAGGTAATTATCTGGAACATTTAAAGTAATTACCACATCTTATTAGTTCATTTGGAACTTTCTGGCACCAGGTTCTTGTAGGGTTAGGGTAAGACTTCCAGGCACAAGCGGCAAATTAGCTGTGGAAATCCATGTTATCAAAAGCATGGATGACTAATGACTTCAGTGTTTCCTGGATTTTCTCATTTAGCACAACCATCGGTGTAACATTTGTGGTTTTGAGAAAATACTGTGACAACTAGACGGATTGCAACTGCTGGATTTCTGGTTTTTCACCCCCACAACTCTCTTCAAGTGATGTATTGTGATTGCTTTAAAAGGTAATTACCGTCATCATCACGTCCAATTTCCCCAATATTTTGGTTTATGACCTGCAAAAATGGCTTTCCCATCAGTCTCAGTAAGACTCGTCTTTTTACAAGAGCAGCAGCTGAAATGACAGAAACTGACCTGAAATTAAAGTCAGCGCAGGCAGAAGCTCCTCCATACCTCCAAATAACAGTCAGCTTAATTCGCTAGACAAGTTTCAATAAGACCAGAAGTTTATTTATAAGAGTCGTAAACATTTCTGGCACAGTAATGCCATAAGTTTCTCCCATAAACTCAATTTTTTGCATCCAGATGGTTTTTAAGTAAAAATATTTCACAATATTATCCAGAAACCTTTGAATTTTCCTTTGTTTTCACAAACCAAAGCTGTCCAGGTTTCATTTGAAAAAATAAAAAATCTTACTGGATTGTAGCCTTCACTTCTAATTGTCTAAATCAGTTTTTAAAAACATTTTTAGATCTGTTTCTGTGAGATTACTAGCTATTGTCCCAATGTGTCCACAGATATGAATATATACAGTTTGTAGGCTTAAACTTATATTTAAGCCTATAGGTTTTTAATATTTGCAGCGCATAACCAAGCAGAACCTTGCGACAAAAATTTCCCTTAATAATAATGAAGTGTATAGCAGAGTAAATGTCAAACTATTTGCAAACCGCTTCCTTGAGTTGTGGTATTCTTCTCTATTAGGCTAATGCGCCAGAGTTGCTCCTCTTGGCTTTGTGCAAATTTATATTGGATTTTTATTAAACTCAAACCGGCGGTAATAGATGTGCCTCTGGGGGTGGCTTTAAAAATCAATTTGCTAAACAGCACAAAATTACCCCATGATTGTCTCCTTGGACCGCATTACCCATAGAAGGTGATTCTCACTGGAATGTGCTCAAACTTTGCCTGAGTGACTGAGGCGGCCCCGCACTTCTGACTCCAGAGCCATGTGTTCGCTCATTATGGCAACGACCCAAACAAGCTGATTTCTGCGCTCGCCGCTGACAGGAAACTCAGGATTCAGATCCTGCCTGTCAAATGGCCCCGCGGCGTTTCCTGCTGCTAATGAAGTGAAATATTCTGGCATCTGAATCTGAAATAGAGCTGTATATTTGGACCCATGAATATGAATACAATCAGCTAGACTTGAGTCGTTAATGAGGCAGGGAGAGAAACCAGTAGACAGGATTAATTAATTAGAGAGTGACATTTATGGATAATAACCTTCTGGTGGAGATCACGATTAATGAATATGCAAGAGACTATCAAAGGGGAAGCATCCAGCTAAGATGAGATATCTGTATTCAAATCTACAATCGGGGTTCTGCCTTCACTGAATCGGCAGCTTATTGTGGTTTTCAACATTTTTCCTGTCAGACTTCAGGGTTGGAGGAGTATTTCTGGGTTGATTAATGGATTATATTTGTGGTACAGCTACAGAGCTGATGTTCTATGAAGTAAGTATCCTGCTGCTGGTTGTGTAGTTGACGAAGCTGGAGTGGTGTCAACAATGTCAGAAATCTGGGCTGTGGCCTTAGAGGAAGCTAGCATAGCGTGTCGGTCTGGAATTTGTGAAAATCGACTTTGTTTTCCTCTCAGATTCTCAATTTGAGGCTCCTTAACCAGCTGTTAAAACCACTGATTGTCTCTCTGTCCATCCGTTCAACTTTCCCTCATTCCATCCATCATTGGTCTATGCCTCACTCTAGCCATCAATTGGTCATTCCATCATTCTATTGATCCATTTGTCTTTCCATCATTCTATTGATCATTTGTCTTTCCATCATCCTATTGGTCCATTTGTCTTTCCATCATCCTATTGGTCCATTTGTCTTTCCATCATCCTATTGGTCCATTTGTCTTTCCATCATCCTATTGGTCCATTTGTCTTTCCATCATCCCATTGGTCCATTTATCTTTCCATCATCCTATTGATCCATTTGTCTTTCCATCATCCTATTGGTCCATTTGTCTTTCCATCATCCTATTGATCCATTTGTCTTTCTATCATCCCATTGGTCCATTTATCTTTCCATCATCCCATTGGTCCATTTGTCTTTCCATCATCCTATTGGTCCATTTGTCTTTCCATCATCCTATTGGTCCATTTGTCTTTCCATCATCCTATTGGTCCATTTGTCTTTCCATCATCCTATTGGTCCATTTGTCTTTCCATCATCCTATTGGTCCATTTGTCTTTCCATCATCCTATTGGTCCATTCTTTCCATCATCCCATGTCCATTTGTCTTTCCATCATCCCATTGGTCCATTTGTCTTTCCATCATCCCATTGGTCCATTTATCTTTCCATCATCCCATTGGTCCATTTGTCTTTCCATCATCCCATTGGTCCATTTATCTTTCCATCATCCCATTGGTCCATTTGTCTTTCCATCATCCCATTGGTCCATTTGTCTTTCCATCATCCCATTGGTCCATTTATCTTCTTGTCTTTCTGTCACTCCATCTGTCCATTCGTCTTGCCATTATGTCATCTGTAATTTGACTTTTCTTGTAGAAAAGACATAAGACATAATGTCATTTACCCTTGGATACAATCATTTTTCTTGTTTAAAGATTTAGGAATAGTCATTGTGGGTAGACATTGTTGCACCAGTAAATCTAGATTCATGTCTTCACAATGGACTAATAAATGAGATGAATATAAAGATACTCAATTTTTAATTCTATTTTTACTCTATTCATTTTAAAATCATTAAAGCAGCTGCAGTTTCTCATTCATTTCTGACGGTGTTCAGGAGATAATTAACCGTCACAAAGAGGCAACACTATCAGTGCAGCAGATGGTAGATAAGACCATGAATACAGTCGTTAGGCCCTTTATTTTATTACATGTCAGACAATCATTTCACTTGTGGGTATCACTGAATTTTTGTACCTGAAAAATTAATTAGATTTCTCTATGTTAAGGCAATCTGCTGCAGTAATTGACAGGGTTATGTGATGGAGCAGTCCTGTGAGGGAGTGTTTGTCCTTCAGAAGGACGGCGTGTCACCATGATGGCCAGAGCCGACGTGAACCCACCGCTTTCAGGGTCCATATGAAGGAAACAATGATTGATCCTGATCCACTTATCTTTGTCTGCTTCTTTGCTGTATCAATCACCTGCATGGATTAACATGAAAGGATGTTCTGTTGGTTGAAGGGAGGAATATGCATCAACGCACATTGATTCAATGTGTTAAGACTAATAATAGGCTTTTCTTATGGTCAGTAATTCAAAACAAGCACATTTGCTACATACACAGTATTAGCATATTTAAAATAAGACAGAACTAACTTACAACTAACTTTAAATCATCATATAAGAGCTTTTTTTTCCCAAGTCAATAATTCCTTAATATTGACGAAGAACTAGTTTCACTGGCAGATTATGTCACTTATAGAAAAATGAAATGCATTTCTTTTTTTTAAATAAGTTTAAGTTTCACTTTGAGTAAATTATAAACATTACTTTACAGTTCACCAAAAAGAAATGAGTCTTATATGTTGATGAATTTACTAGTATATTTGTATTAGAAACTAGACCAAAAATTCTTTTGTTTTTGAAGTATAATTTCTCAGTATTTGATCATCTTAATGTCATTTTTGATCATTTCTGTGGGCTTTGGGAGAAGCTCCCGTCTCCTACTGATCTAGTTAACATTTCAACACATGCAAAAAGCAGATTAGCTTGTGTCATGTAGCAGTTGACGATTGTTTTGTTGCTTCTCACACCAATTTGCCCTTTATTATTAACCAATCCCGTCCTGGTTATCCGAGCCCGTGGAGCGAGACGTCTTGTCTATCATTAGCATATTAGTGTATTTCTGTGTGATTTGCCTTTGCGCTCCGTTTCATCCAAAGACTCTGTGCAAACGGCTCCAGCCTGCCAGCGTGGAAGACGGATGAACCCGCCGCCTTTTAGCGTGCACGGGAAGGTGAAATGACATTTGAGAGCTGTGCAAAATGTGAGAGCGGTCTCCACTCATGTGCTGCTGTCAGGAGTGATCACTGTTATTTCAGCTGCCTGTCCAAAACAGGCTTCCGACGTCTTCCCTTCTCTCACTAGCGGAGATGGGATCCCTGAATTTGGCGCTCGCGCTCAGCAAATCAGATTAGAGAGGCTGTAATGGCAGGTTGTGTCAGAAAAAAGCACTATAGAGTATTAGGAGAGGACAAAGCAAACACAGCAGCCATTACGCTGTGCCACCCTTTCTTTCTACTCCTTCATCAAAACAACATGAAAGTGTATTATAGGATATCAGGCTGTCACCTTGGGAAGTGACGTGGAAATGGAATAGACTACTCAACAGACGACTAAAAACTTTAATTCGACCCCTGGACACAGTTACTTTAGATGCATTCTGCTTGAAAAGGATGTGTCCACTCCCTGAAAAGGTGACAGATGCTATTTAAGAATAATCACTGATGCTCTGCACCGACAGAATGGCTGTAAATGTTTATAATTTACATGAATCAGTACAGCTGGAGACCAGCCTCCCTCCCATATGTCTCTCAGCTTCACAAACGTACTTATCGTTTCCACTTTATGTTTAAGTCCTAATGAAATCTTGCAGTAGCATATTTAGATATTACACACCAATATGGTGACAAGTCAGCCTATGCAAATGCACCACAAAAG